CCTACGGGAGAAGGCGAAGGATGTTGGGAAGGGCAGGATGGTTAGGGCGGTGGGGGTGAGAGGGAGTGTTGTTGCTGCTGCGGCAGGAGAGAAGGGGAAAGCGAAGGAGGAAGTGGTGGTGGATGATGAGATTGAGATGAGGAAAGCGTTTGCTGAGGACATATCGGCGTTTGTGATGGCGAATGCGGGATTGGAGGATATGGCACCGGGAGCCGAGACCGCGACGGACACCGGAACGAGGGCACCCAGGTCAAGTGCCGCCAAAGCCAAGAAAGATGTCGTCGGCCTCACGGACCTGCCCAAGGAGCTGCGCGACGAGATCTGGCGCCTCGTCGTCGTGCAACCGGAGACCTTCATCTGGCCCGACGACAAATTCGGCAAAGAACAACCAGACCTCGCAATGGTCTCCCGCTTCATACGCGCAGACGTGCTGCCAATCTACTATGCCGAGAACATCTTCGCCCTCGACGTCTCTCCAACTTCCATGAGCCTGCGAAAGCCAGGGCAATGGGTCAACGCCCGCGAGCGAGCAGAAAAGCCCTCCATCATCGAGACTTGGGCAGCCGTGCTGGAGACCAAGGGCTGGTTCGGCATGATCCACAAATGGTGTCTGAGCTACGAAGGCGGGTCGAACCTTTTCAGCAAGAAAGAGGACAGGATCGTGCTCGTTTCGCTTGCCTTGCGCCAGCGCGATACTGGGTTCTGGAGCGCGGAAATGGAGTTGCATCGCGAGGCGAGTTGTTTGCTTCCAGGTCATGCCGACTTTGGAAAATGTGTGGTGGAGAATACGCCGAACTGGTTGAATGTTGCTGTGATTGATTTGCTTGATGCGGCGAGGGGTGGTACGGTGGATGGTGGGATGATTATGAAATTGGCAAGGGCGATTCAGGGTGATCAGGCGAGGCTGGAGGATAATCGGTGCTCGCGATCGTTGGGGAGGGTAGGAGAGCAAACCGGCCGGAAGGTCGATGATGTGCTTGCGTGGCCTTTCGAGTAGGGGACACCGGAGCAACTTCTGCGAGCAGTGTGTTGATGATTGGACAGTAGGGGAGCAGGATCGGCGGGCAAGCTGAAGTGATGGGCGGAGGATCAATGCATCATGCGACTATGGAAGGAGAAGCTGGGTCAGTTAGCTGGCTGCTTGTGAGCGGGTTTTGGTTGCGGGATCTTACTTGGATGGAGACGATGTGCTCTTGGAAAGCATGGAAGGGGCCGGCGGATGCAGACATGATGCCATGCATCTCCATACTTGATCTTCAGAGCGGCGGCAGAGATGAGCAGCCAGCGAGCAAGCTGCGAGGTCATCGGGTCAGGCTGCCTGGGAGATTCTTTCTTTGGGCGAGTACCAGATATCTCCATACCAGCATTTGGGTAATGGATGAAAAGTGCTTTTTCAATCGTTTTGGAATGCCTTTCCGGCCTTGGAGGTTTGTGCACTTCGCCAGTGACGTGGTCGTTGAGCAATGTCTGCCGTTGTATTCGTTCGCTGAGACTGGCTGTTCATGTTCTGGATTGACTGGTTTCATCGAAACATCCTTTCGTGCTCTGCTGACGTCCAGATGTCGTGAAGTTCGCCAGTGCTGTGACGTTGGATTGTAAACGTGGAGTTCATCATTGCTGAGGTACTGTTGAACGTCAAGATCACGCAGCGGTACCTCCTCGATCTAGCGAATCTCCACGATTTCTGATCCCCCGTCCGCCGTGAAGTTCACATCAAAGAGGCCAGCAAGACTGACTGCCACCCACATCTCTTGGCAGCAAGACCAGACTTGCCAGCTCTAGAACCTCATCTCCGCACACAGCCACCCCCTCACACCTCCCGCACCGCCCTCCTGACCTCACGCCTCTGCTCCTCAACCCCCCACCCCCCCTCATCGCACCCGACAAGCAACCTCCCCACCGCAACCGTCGCCCGCACACTCCCACTCTCCACCCACACCCTCCCGTTCCTGCCCACCGCAACTTCGAATTTAAGTTTCTCGCCTAGTTCCTCCAGCACCACAAACCCTCCCTTTCCCGGCCCCATCATAAGCCTGCGTGCGAAAGCCGGAGAAACGTTGAAGACAGTCCCCCCCTTGAGCGGACCCATACCATCCGCCTTCCCACTGTTAGGGCTGACGCACTCGATTTCCACGTCCTCACCCCGTCCCGCGGCTTTGACGCGGGCGTACACCGAATCCCCCGCTTCCAATTTGGGGCGGGTCTTCTTGTTGGCTCCTTCAAACGCCAATTGCCCCAGCAGCGCGTAGGGGGTTTGCGGGGTGAGCATGACGTGGTACGTTTCGGTGCTTGAATGGTGCACTTGGGCGACGACGAGATCGCCGACGCTGGGCGCGTAGCGGGCGTGAGGTGTGTCGAGCCAGAGGGCGATTTTCTTTGCGTCTGACTGGAGTAGGCCGGAGGAGGTTGGGAGGATGGAGATTGATGCTGGTGGTGCTTGGGGCAGGTGGCGGAGGTTGGGGCCGAGGGTTAGGGTGCCTTTTTTGCTTTCCGGGAGTTGGCTGTGAGGAACTGTTTCGCCTGGGAGAAGGATAGTTGATGAGGCCATGGTTGGGCTTAGATTGTTTGGGTGTGGATGTTGGAGGGAAGAGGTGAGGTCGAAAAGTTGATATGGGGCGGAGATTGCTCGGAGATAAGAGAGGTTGGTGGACCCTGGCGAGATCTCGGACTTTTTAGGAAATTTATTTTGGACTCCAACGAAGGAAGCAAGACCGACGTTGGTTTTCACTTTCACTTGCGCCCGATCATTGACTCCCTGCCTGACAACGAGACCACGAAGTCGCAATTTACCAGCACTGACAACACCCCCCTCCACCCCCAACATGAGCGACGACACCGGCTCCCCCCCCGAGCCACAATCCCAAGAGTCCTCGCGCATAGCCATCGGCCTGGCGTTCGGCAACAGCAACAGCAGCATCGCCTACACCTCCCAAACCGAAGGCAAGGCCGAAGTCATCGCCAACGAAGAAGGCGACCGCCAGATCCCTTCCATCCTCTCCTACGTCGCCGGCGAAGAATTCCAAGGCACGCAGGCTAAAGAGCAGATTGCGAGGAATCCGCGTAATACTATTGCGTTCTGGAGGGATTTTCTGGGTAAGGGGTTTGGGGATGTTGATCCGAGTAATTGTCACGCGAGCGCGCATCCGGTGGAGATGGATGGGGGGCAGGGGGTGGGGTTTGAGGTGCAGGAGCATGATGTTGTCGAGGGGGAGGCGGAGGGGAAGAAGAGCACCCTCTCAGTATCAGAAGTCACGACCCGCCACCTCCGCCGCCTCGCCAAATCCGCCTCCGACTACCTAGGCAAAAGCGTCAACGCCGCCGTCATAACCGTCCCCTACGACTTCACCGACGCACAAAAGGCCGCCCTCACCTCCGCCGCCCAAGCCGCGGGCATCGAAGTCCTGCAATTCATCCCCGAGCCCGTTGCAGCGCTCTTAGGCCACGACGCCAAGATCCAGCAGGCTGGCGAGCAAACGCAGCCGCAACACCACGATCGAACCATTATAGTGGCAGATCTCGGGGGCACGAGGTCCGATGTAGCGGTTATCGCGTCAAGAGGCGGCATGTACACCACCCTCTCCACGGCCCACGACTACGAGCTCGGCGGCGCCACACTGGATAAAGTGCTCGTCGAGCACGCCGCGAAGGCGTTTGTCAAGCAATACGGCAGAGCTGGCGCGGACCCGCGCACGAACGAGCGCAGTCTTGCGAAACTGACGATCGAAGCTGAGGCCGTGCGGAAAGCGCTTAGCTTAGGCGCGAGCGCGAGTTTCAGCGTCGAGAGCCTATCCGACGGCATTGATTTCAGCCTCAGCGTCAACCGCTCGCGCTTCGAGTTGCTTGCGAACAAGACGCTTATGTCGTTTACCCGCCTCATTGAGTCTGCGGTGCAGAAGGCGGATCTCGATGTTTTGGATATCGATACCATCCTGCTTGCTGGCGGAGCCAGCCACACGCCTAAAATCGCCGCGAACCTGGCTTCGCGCTTCCCTGCCACGACTACAATTATTTCTCCGAGCACAGACCCCCATGCGCTCAACCCGTCTGAACTCACCGCGAGAGGGGCGGCTATACAGGCGAGTCTGATTCAGGGTTTTGAGCACCAGGATATCGAGGATAGCACCGAAGCCGTCGTCACAGTCACACCCCACCTCTCGCAAGCCATCGGTTTGGTTACGGGGAAAGAGGGCGAGGAGAGCTTCGCGCTTATTGTGGAACCCGACACCCCCGTCCCTGTCCGGAGGACGGCACAAATAACTGTCCCCGCCGGGGGTGACGTGCTGGTTCGTCTCGCTGAAGGCGTCCACCACATCTCCGTCTCTCAAGCGGAGAAAGCTGCCACCAACGGCGCCGGAGGTAAAGCCGACGATGATGATGATAGTGAGGATGAGGATGACGAACCAGAGGAAGTGAGAAGTAAGGTTTTCAAGGCAGGCAAGGTTCTCGCGGAGGCCGGGCTCCGGGGTGTGAAGAAGGGGGCGAAGGTGGAGGTGCAGGTTAGTGTTGCGGGGGATTTGGGGGTTACTGTTGTGGTGCGGGAGGTGGGGGCGGGGGCGCAGAAGGGTGGGGTTAGGGGGAGTGTTGAAGGGACGGGGGTGGCGCAAAATGGGTCCGCGTGAGTTGGTGAGGGAGGGGGAGGGGGGAGGGGAGAGGAGGATGAGATGCGGTGGTCGACGGACGATTTGGTGGTGGAGGAGCATATGAGTTAAGCCTGGTCTGAGAGTGGGTATTTGCATTGCCGGGCGTTTTCAAGAAGCGATCGATACGTTGTTGTCGAACTATTGGGAAGTTAGAAGGATACAGTGCATGAAGCAAGTGGCGGCAATCCACACGTACGTGTGTGGTTCATGAGCTGAGCTTCAGGTATGATATGATTTGGTTTGAGATGCTGTTTTCTTCTGGGGGTTTTCGTTGCTTGCTTTGCGGGAGTTCTACTATTTCGTTCAGCTTTCTCTAGCATGACTATCGGAACGGAACAAGCAGCTAGCTCAAAAGACAAGTACCCAGTGCCAGACTCGAACTGGCTACCTCCGCCTGACCGATAGTACGGTGCTGATCTGCTATAAGGACGGCGCGCTGGCCGGATGAGCTAACCGGGTGCGCGTGACTCTTGTCGAGTTGGGGGATCCGTGGGATTGAATATATAGGTTGGAGGGGGTGGTGAGTCAAAGAAATGACTGAGAGGGTATATTCGGGAACGCAGGAGGATGCGGAAGGAGAGCGAGAGGCATGTGCACTCTAGGGATGAGCGATGAGGGGGTGGGAGGAATGGTTTGATCTCATAGGGATTTCTTCTGTCAGGTTACAACACTTATTGGGACAGGTGTTACGTGCGGTAAGCTAGCCATCTTACCCCTTCGATGTTAACGATGCTGACGATGAGATGGAGGGACCGAGACTCCAGATTCGATGTGTTGCAGGTACGAAGTACATCTGCCACAGAATCTCACACCACACACATCACAAACCACTGTCATACCCATCCGGCGCTTCTGCAGAATCGCCGTCCGCAACACTTACGGAGACACCGCAGCGGCTTCGAGCTCAATGACCTAGAGACAGCGATCTGCCGAACGTGACGCTGGAGGCGATGCTCCCGGTCTCGAGGTCGTCATCATCAACGTCTGCAGGATGAGCTTCGGGAGAGGCGAGATAGTCTGTCATCTCCAGATCCCGGTCGCCGTCTGTAGTCTCTGCCAAGGCTTGGGCGGCGTTGATGGCTGGCGGCTGCAGTCTCATAGTCGTCGCCGTAGTCGTCGGTGAGGTGTGGCTGGCTAGCGGAATTCGTATTGAAGGATCCGGCAGTGTCGTTGGTATGGTCGTGAGGGATGCGATGTCCAGATGCTGGTCAGTCCCGGTTTCCTGGTCATGGTTGGTTGTGCTTTGCTGATCGTGCTCGTGTGGCATGTCGTGGATTGCCGCATTTTCCAGCTCATGGTTGCTCGCGGATGCCATGTCGTGGACGGCTGCAAACTGCGAATCATGGACTGCTGCGACTTGCTTGTCTGTGTCATCTGCAATCTCCTGGCAACCATCGCTCGTCACCTCCGGAGTCTTGCTCGGGACGTTGGTCCTGGACTGCGGCGGAGCCTCGGCGACATGGTCCTGGATCTTCTCGGCCTCGCTCGGTATCTGGTCGATGGTGTGGTCGACTAGATGTACGGGGCCTGGTGCCTCCGCATCATCGACGAACTCGTAGTGACACCTGGCGTAACGATACCTGGGGTTGAAGGAGTCATCGCTGAAATCGCGATACGAACGGACCCAATAGTTCCCATGCCGAATGCGCTTAGTGGGTTCTATCTCCCCAGCCTTTTTGCAGTGAGATCATTTCTCCGGCTGATAGCGGTCTGAACAGATCGTCGCCCCAAGCAAGAAAGACCATGACCTGCTCCTCCCCGCCGATAGTCTTGCGAGCATGTGGAGTCTCAAGCATATCAACTATCACGGCGGGCTAAAGCGGTCCTCCTCTCATCGGTTCGAACCAAATGTACAGTTCGACCTGTCTTGCTCCTGTCAAGCGTCAGTGCTCCGGGTACTTAGCTCGAGAGATGTCTTGACGTATTCTCACCACTGACTACCTCTGGTGCATCTGAGCGTGGACCGAGCCAATGCGGATGCAACATGCGCACTTTCGATAGATCAGGACCCTCTCAGCACTTCAAGCCGCACATTGAGTAGACCAGCCTTCTGGAGTCGAGTTCTTTCGGCGCCATGATGGCCGTTTGCTTGTGAGCTGCTATCACGGTAGAGGAAAAAAGAGCAAGCGTTCTGCGAAACGACAGAAAACTCTGCATGGAAGACTCCCGAAGCTCCACCGCATCCGGCCGTTATCACATGCAAATAACGGAAGAGCCGCGCGGGACAGGATAGTGGACATGTGATGAAACGACAGTCATTCGTCTACCACTTCTCGGGGTCTCGTTAGCATGGGGAAATGTTGAATCTGCCACGCCTTCTCGAACGACTACAGGTACTACGAGACTGAACAGAGGCAGCATTATGTACACCGCGGCGATGAGGAGACTGGATCCTTCGGGCTTCATTGTTTGCATTGTAAGACTGCTCTATGCCTGACGGACCATACCACCGATTCTGTTACGATGGTTGATTTTGTCGGCGGTGAGTTGCTCGGCCTCCTGCTATGCCGATCAGGCTGACGGAGATCTTGTCTGGCAGTCCTCGAGGCTTCTGGCCGTGCTGCGTTTCAGTCAGTCTATGCTTGCCATGTGTTCGATCTTCTGCTTGCGCCGCAGACATCTTCGTGCATCGACATGCCTTTCACATCCCATAGCTAGCATAGTTCACCTCTTGGGTATTCGAAGCCTTCAACAAACGGAAGTGTTCCTCAACCCCGGCCTCGCTCGTGACGATATGCGCGTCGATTCCTTCGCCCTGGATTGCAGCTCCGACCTTCTTGCCATCAACAATGCGGATCATGTTCGCCGGTCGCCACCAGTTGGGCCACGGACTGTTGTCGGGCCACCAGGCGCCCCAGTTCAGCACGACGCCAATGCGGTCCGTCGTCCCGTCCGCACGTCCGCGAATATCGAGCACCACCTCCGTCCAGTACAGCTCTCTACCTGACAGTGGAAGAGTCATGGTGGAGCGACGCATGCGGCTCCAAGAGCCTTTGCGGATGGTGCTTGTGTCTGTTCCGTCCATTACTATGAATAACGTGAGCGAGCACGGTAGTTTCGATAAGGGTGGTGCAGCGAACCGAGGAGTTCTGATAGCGATATGCAGGAAGATAGTGGTCTGAGGACTTCGGGAAGGTCGCATTCACTTCCGGTCTCAGGCTCAGCAGGATTGTGTTGCCCTGGCTGTGTTTGCTGAGAGTCGCTGGAGGATGCCGTGGTTGAAGACGCTTTTGGTATCTGTGGGTCGGTCGCAGTTCAGATTGATTGTCCAAGTGGTCATGGATGAGAGAGAAAACAACTAGAAGGCTCCAGAACCTCCGAAAACTCAAAGCGTTGTCACATGCAGATGGAGGAGATGTGACATGTTAGAAACTGACTCGTCCGACGGCAGCGTGTATGTGACCATACATGTACCCGCGTGCCCTCTGGAGTTTGGCAGGCAGCAGAAGGAACGGATAAAGTCAAAGATCAAACGTTGCTTCACAGTCTTGACGATTGCAGGCATCATCAAACGGCATAGATGGAGCAGTGCATGAGCGACAGCGAGAGCTTTGACTTCTTGAACTTTCTCTGCCTGCCTGTGAGCTGACTAGCAGTCTTCGATGGGCTTGTGGCAATGCCAAAGCTGCGTCCATGCCTGTCGGCAAGACGTCCGAAGGTTCTTCACACACCTGGTTCACATCCTCACAACCCTTCCTGCACCCCCGGCCCAGCAACCCCATGCTCAAGCTCATACACACAGTTCCGCCAGACCCTCGACTCCGCTGAGAGCTGAAGGAACCGTTCCTCAGACCCTCGATCGTCAGTCACCAGCTGAGATCCTTCCTCATGGCACACAACGACCGCAGACTCTATCGTGTCAGCTTGAATAACCGCAAGCTTGGGCCCGGCTTTCCACCAGGCGCGGAAATACTCAATGCCCCAGACCACGAACAGCACAACTTCGGTAGGGTCGGCGGAGCCGGGTGGAGAGGCTGTCGAGCGGATGTCTAGAATGACTGCTGGTAGGCAGGTGGCGCCTCCAAGGGTATCTGACTTTTTGGTACGAATCCAGCACCAAGAGCCAACTTGGATGGTGCTGCTCTCTTCGCCTGCGGTGACTGCGAGAGGTGTCAGTGTAATATGTATGCGGTGCAGACGATCGGGAGAACGGACTTGTATACTCATCCAACGATTGGGTCTCGGACAACGGGCCAAGCCAAGGCGGATGTGGGATCACGATCTCGGAAGTGACTTTGAGCGAGGAGAAGACTTGTGGACGTTGGGATGGGATCGATTCGCCCGCCGGTAATCTGCGATGTCCGCGGCTCGCCGTTATGGATGAGTTGTTTGGCGGCGCCATTATGAGTATTTGATTGAACTAGAGGTGGGAGCTTGTCTACAGAACGAGACAAGCAAAAGCAGGACTGAAGGTTCCGAAAGGATGCTGCAACTCGCACCCAGCTCAAGTAAAGTCATGGTAATCTGTGCATGCATGCACTGCGGAAGCCCGTCGGGGATATGCAGGTACGTGGAGAGTGATTGGACGACGAACATGGGGACGCTACGTCTGCAGGATAGCGTTCTGGGTGGTTGACATGAACCTATCACATTGTGATATATGCATACTCTCTATCGTTAAGTTCAGGAACCCGAGACCGCTAGTCTCTGCCAGCAGTTCAGTCACGATTGTGCAACATCTGTTCGCATGGTCATCCATGAGAACTTGCTTAGAGTTAATGGTCAGGGTATTGTGAACATTAGGTATGAGACTGGCGCTTACCGTAGACCTCGTAGATATGTCCTGCCAGTCGAATGGCGAAGCCAGTCCCGTACCCCCACCTGGCCAAACGTGTCATGATCGATCTCACGAAGCAGTCCATCCCAAATCTCACCATTCACGGCGGAAGGCCGGTAGTGCTTCTCGACTCCGTCTTCGACCTTCCACAGAACGCCTTCCGTATCCACACCCTGGATGTCGGAGACGATAGTCTCCCCGGCGACGATCGACAGGTCGCTACCAGTCTTGTACCACCCACGAGCGTACTCTTCGGCCCAAGCTAGGTAGATGGCGACATGCAAGTTGAATGGTAGAAGCGTCCAAGGAGGGACCTCACGGATGTCAAGGACCATCGCCGGCTTCATCAAGTCTTCTGTGATCTTGCTGTCGCTCTCCACACGAACCCAACACCAGCGCTTCCTACGGATGACCGTGCGTTGAGAGCCGTTGAAGACTGATGGTGGTTAGTAACACATTGCCACTTTCACGGGCTCAGGAGACGAACTGATGAAATCTTCCAACCTTCTGGTCTGAGATAGACGTGCAAGCATATCTGGATGCGAGCATCTCACTTCCGAATCAGCTTTCAGGAACGACCACTGGTCGATGGCTGAAATCTGCGCCTGGGGCTTTTCCAATGTTTCGGCCTCTTCGACTTCACGCAGATAGTTGTAGAGAGAAGCGCTTGCCCGTGTCATAA